CTTGCCAGCGCAGCTTCACCCATATTCTTCAGTCAAAAGTTTTCCTGCATAATTTACATCTCGCACGTACTGGGTCTTAATCTTTTCGGAGCCATAGCTTGTATTTTTCATCTGCTAACCAGTGGTCACTGAAAACATATTTACCCGGCATTTTGACTTAGGCAATAGGCTAGTTTACGGCTCGCTATAAAATTCCCACAAAACGGTCTGACCCAACACTTTAATGTATCTTGTTAGAAACTGCAACGCCGCAGCCTCTTTAAACGTTTGACAAACGTTTACAAACTAAATTACTTGATAGAGCCATGATAATTTTGGGTCAATTAATATATATATATATGCCTTTTCCGAAACTTAATGGATATTTTATCATTTTTCACAACTTTCCCAGGTCTGGAAAATTTAATTTAATTTTCCATAACTTTTCCAGGATTTCCATACCGTAGGGAACTGGCAAACATGAATCCAGCTCTTTTCAAAACGGCAAATAAAGGCATCCCCAAGGTTCCCTGAAAAAAGGTCTCCTGTTTTTTGTTCTTCACATCTGTGCCACTCCTGAAATGTATTTTATTGAAGCATTTTACATTTGTTATCCCTTGTTGGTCTTATCTCCTGGGATCCAGAACAGATTTTTGCAACATTCAGTATATCCCCCCCGTGTATAATTTCTTCATGCTTCCAATAACATCAAAAACTCAGTTTTCCTCATTTATGTATTTTTCTGCCCTATCTTATTTTCAGTTATTTAATCATTCTTGCATTCAAACATCCAGGTTTCACATTTGTCTGTGAGCACAGGCAGTTGAACAAAGGTTGTTTTCCTTTTAGGATTACATTTAATTAAAAAAAACATATTCCATCCAGTTTTGATTCTCCTTTTTTAATTCCACACATCTGTTTATTTGGAGACATTCATTTCTCCAATAGAGGCAGTGACTTTCTCCAGCTTAATTCCACTGACCTCAACCACAGAGAAAGATTATTTAACACTTCCTAAATTCATTTACAGTAATTTAGAATAATACATGATTGTATTTTTAATTAAATGCCAATTATTTATTTGCTATACCCATCCCATTTTGTAATCACCAGTTGTGTGTTTTTCACATCTTGACTCACAGATACAGTATGAACCCTGCACAAAAAAAAGAAAGTAGTGTTGGCAGACTCCTTTGACCTGTCAACCTTCAAGCCAATTAACTTTTAACACATCACTCCAATCCATTCTTCTGCCAAAAGGTTCAGAACCAACTGAAGGAAGGTAAATCCTTCTGAGACAGCATTGCATACCTGCAAGTGTCTGACCATTCTCAGTCTGTTAGTAACATGACCCAGCTCTAAAGTGCAATACCTGCCTTGACAACCTCACACTGCACTTGGGACAACAGCTTTACCAGCCAAGCCACTCAAGAAGCCCCCCAGTACCACATTTTAATCATTTCAGAATAGTTTCACATTCTTCCATATTGACATCCACAAATCACAGATAATTCAAATAAATTCCATTATGTTTTGGTCAGACATTCCTGGTGATTGCTTCTTCAAAAGTTTAAAATGTGTTAAAGCCCGGTTAATCTCTACTAAAAGTAAACTTGCCTAACAGTCAAGATGATGGAAATCTCAAGTTCTTATCAGTTTGAAATTTGAAGTTTGAAGGGAAGAGGAAGTTAATAAAAACATAGTCTTAAGATAAGAAATTGAAAGGTCAAAAGTTACACAAACTTAAGCTATGGGCATTATGGGCATTATCTGCCTAAAACCTTACATGTTCAAAATGCTCAAAAGCCAATACTGTACAGCACCAGATGAGTACAAGACAAAGTCATCACATCAGATCTACAAGATGAGGTCTAAACAATTTGCCTTAGGCAAAACAAGCAATGAGGCAAATCTCACTGCAGAGTCCAAAATTACGTATACTGTATACCCTGTATTAGTGAACCCTATTCTATTTCACTTTATTTTCTGCCTGTTTTTAGGAACAATGTATGAAAAATCCATCACTTAATTTCAGTTTATGGGTTTCAAATTTTGCATTTTGATGCCTTTCGGTAAATTGTTTTATTAAATAACTACACTTCTACATCTTATGTCATGATACCTTAAAGAACACAGAAGTTCTACATTCAGAAGAGCTACAGGAGAGAAAAACAGAAAAGTGTTCTGCACTTCTTACGCAAATATCAGCAGCTGCTTCCTCTTTCTTTTCAGATGCAAAAATAAGAACTATATCAACTATTTTTCTCTCAAACAAGACATTTTTAAAACGTATTTATTAAAAGGAGAAATAACACTAGGGTCTGTGAATTTCCTCTGTTTACATAAAACATTAAATACAAGTACTGCTTGTCATTTCTTAGAAGGCTTTCTTTAGTGTCATAAAAATATCTGTAGTTGTTCGCTCCTACTGTGAACTACTGGGAAAGCACCATCACAAATGCGCCCAATGCAGCAACATCTACTTTAATAATTGATGGCGTCAATACAATACAACCTGCTCTTGTCAAACTATCAGGTCCCCTAGCAAGGAAACTGCACATAAAAGAAATATGCAATGTGGGAAATTGTTACATAGGATTACCACTAGATGGAGACTAACATCCACCAAAATACCAATTCCATACTATCGAAATTTCTAGAAAATTTATAGGAAACACCGATAACATTGTTAAAATAAAACCTGCAGCACTAGTGTTGTAACAGAAGGCTGCACATCTCCCCTTTCCATCCTTCAGCAGAAAATTACAACTCAAAATGCACCTTTTGTATACCGATCTTATATTCTTCAAAGACCTGGAATGCATTACATGTTAACAAAATCCTAATTATTATCCATTTTACTTAAAGAAGAACATAAGCATTTTTTTGTCTTTTAAACTGAAACAGTAATGGGAGCATAGTTTCTAAGTGACCCATACATAGATTTTATATAACTTTTTAAAGTATCTTTTATACTGTATTTCTTTCAATTATTCATCTTTTTATATATATATATTAATAATAATAATAATAATAATTTCATCTATAATACATTTATGCATTGCTCACATTTCCTGCACATTTACTAGGCCTTCAGTGTTCTATTTAATAAATTACCAAGTCTCCCCTAGACATTTAAGTACTGCCCATCCTGTTTTATGAAGTATATTCAGTCAAAACACTTGTCTTGCTGTTCAGCATCTAATGTTTCACTATGTTGCTAATCTGGTTTGGGTGACAACCTCTGTAGTTATTTGAGTCACATGAAATTAAATTGTTTCCAAACGTCTTGCTTAAAGCTAGACCCACACAAACCTTTTGTTAGGAGATCTCTTCTTAACTTGTGAATTTAGAATTTGTTTCCATATTGCTCTCTAAACAAATGTTAATAGGTGAACAATTTATGATGAACAGAAACATTAAAACTGTGTACTAATGGAATTGGTATTTCATGTCCGAGGATTAATATGAGGCAAAAGTAAAGGTAGTTTGCTTTTAATTTCTTCATATTTTTATGCAAACATTTAGCTATATTAAAACAAAGTTATGTAATGTGTTTCACCTACATCTGATGTAGGGTTGAGGACATCTTAGGAGGGAAGGAGGGAAGAACAGTGAGTAAATATTGTGGCACACAGTGGAATCAGCAGGCCTCTCCAATTCTGTTGAAGCCATTAAAATAGTAAAAAATAGTGAAATCAGGTCCCATAAATGTATGAGCATATTAAATTAACAAGAGATTTATTCCTGGGTAGGATTTTACCATTTATTTTTTAGAATGCAGGTTCTCACTATACGGCCTGTTTTGTCTATTAAAGATAGGGTTCTGAAACTCACTAAATTGCAAGTACCAGTGCATAGTGTACATTATGTAATGCTATGTGTTGTATAGTTGTGTTATTTACTCTCAAACTGGAAAATGAAAACCCTTGATTTCTGGAGGTGAAAATGTTATTTTTTTACAATTTGCTTGCATAGCAAATTTGCACTATAATTAACTTCACATTTGATGCAACCTGCAGTTTGGATATTTTCAGCTTTATGTACTACTCGGCAGCACTGATCTCCTTTTACCTGTCAGTCCCTTTTCATTTAACTTCACCCCTACACATTACACCAACCTGTTTTACCCTACAATTCCAGACCCTTTGGGATACCCTCTTAGCATTTTAAATTTAGACCTGCCACCCTATCAACCTTACTTTTTATACTTAGTTTATCATAGCGTGATCCAAAACAATAGTTACTAGTCCTGAAGTATTTTCATTTACATTCATCTGGATCAGTATCTGGCTCATTAACAGTACCATTTCAAATGGAAGTACTAACATTCTAAACTGTGAACTACATTCAAAAATCATCTTTATTGCAAGGTTACAATGCCTGCTTCCCCACTCCTTATTCTCCCTGTAAATATTTGTATATTCTATATAGAATAAATAGGGTAAATGGAGGCAAAAAGTTGGAAAACATACTTAGTCAATTCAAAAGTACATTTTCACATTAATTTCTCATTGCTTGCATCTAGTATTTCATTAAACATGCTCATGGGAATTACAGAATACAGGCATTTCATCTTCAGGATACATTTTTATGTCTTTAAGGGAGTAATATTCAAAATATGGTCTTTAATATAGTCAGTGCATCATTCTCCACTGAAAACCGATGTATGGTGAGCGTACCGGCACACTTTGGCTGGCGTCACATCATCCAGGTGGGTGCTGCACAGTGTTAGTGGAAAAGGGAAGTCCCCATTCCCTTTAAAATACTTTGCGTGGTCAACTATAAAATCATAAGGATTATTATCTATACTGCAAATGACCACTTATATGTCAACACTATCAAGATAAGAACTTACCGATGCATGTTTTTTTAAACAAGTTTACACGCTTTTAATACTGATTAAATGTGTTTTTGGCAAACATTTAGCTGATCATGATTGTAGGCTCCAAAGATTGTAACTGCTACATGCAACATTTTACTGGGCACAGGTGTAATAAGGCAACTTGCTGAAACTCAAGACTGGTGAAAAACAAGAATTGCCGATTGTTTATCTACCCAATTTGTACATTTGATTACATGTCATCTTACATGTCACAGATATGAAACCCACAATCACACATGCCAAGAACAAAGAAGTGTATACAGACTCCTTTGAGTTGCCCACCTTTAAGCCATCAGTCTTGTAACAGGTCATGGATTACAAATGCCCACAGCCACTCCCCACTACTGGTTATCTTGCAAGAAGCTTTTGAAAATACCACTAGAAGGACAGTGCCATCATGCCTTGGAAATAGCTTTAAAGTAAATCCAGATTAATTTACTTATTTTTGTTGTCCCCATATTCTACCTGACCAAAATCACTTATGGAAATGAAGTCAGGGATCCACAAAAGTAGAAAGAACATTTTATCAAAAAAAATGGTGGGCAAAGTGGGGATACAAATGAGGACAGAGACAATCGTTGACCCTTTAATTTCTGGTTCCGTGAGGTGGACTGCTAGGAAATATTCAGGCCGTCCCTACAACAGAAGACTACTGACAGAAAACATTTTAAAAAAGGAGATTTTTTTACCTCAAATGGTTATGGAAATGTGGCAATCATATATTCTTTAAAAAGTGAAAAGTTTCATTCATAAAACTTTCAAAATGTTAACAAAAAGGTACTGCTAAATTTCTACAACACTGCTATCATTAAACAAGGATGAGATTTGGGCATATAAAATACATTTACAGTCAAAAAGTAAGATAATTACCAACTGAATAAGGAGGTGGTATATCTATAACTGCTTAACAAAAGATATTAAAAATGTGTTCCCATTTTCCCCCATCAACGTTTACAAACCAAAAATATGCAAGACAGAAAAAAAAATTTCTAAACGTTCTTATAATCATGAATAAAAGACCTTCAAATACAATACAACAACAAAACTGAATTGAGAAAACAGCACTTCAAAGCAAGCAAAAGTCCAATTATGTCAAATTATTTTGGTGGATCTGTGTTGATGCCGTATTTTTCCTTGAGAAGTTTTAGTTGTTCCTCTTTTTTCTTTGTATCCATTTTCTGGAAAGCCTGAAAAAAAAAAGTTTGACAGATCATAAAAACAGCCAATATGTACAAATTGCCCACTTATGCAAATACGGATATGAAACTAAACATAGATAACCTAAAAAACATCCGGAAATACTGCAACACTCAATAATTTGTCATGTACATATATCATTTTTTGTGAACTATATCTCTTCCATCTGAAGATCTAAATCTTCAAATAAAATGGACTCATTTGCTTTTACACTAAAAACAATAATTGAAAAGCAATGTTTTAATATGCATACCCTGTTAGCATTGTAGTACAAGACAACAAGATATCTGTTGCAAACATTAAATCCAGATAAGTGATCACAGGCATTCTTGGCATCAAAGATGTCTTCATAGACAACATATGCTGTTCCTCTTGTCTCTGGTGTGTTCCCACTAGGAAAAAAATATGTCCGATTAATGAAATGTAAATAACGTTAATGCAAAAATAATATGAAAACATACAAAATATAAAAGCACCTGACTTCAATAAAAGCCCTTGAAGAAATTGAAAGGTTAAGTTTGTAATTTGTTATTATTTTCATTTTGAAGTCTCTAGCACCAGCACAAGAATGACAATATCACAACAGTTCTATTTGGCACTTAGAATTAAACAGGTAAAATGTAAAAAAAAGTTTAACAGAAAAAACAATCACAAAATATTGTCACTGCTATATTTTGTGTACTGCTTTATTTTTAAGAATTTGACAAATCACAATTTCAGCCATTTTCAATAATCTTGTGCATGACCTTCACCTTGATTCTTCTGGTAGGTTGCAATCTCTGTGAATATTCTATTTTTTGGATTCCTTATGCAATTGTGAGAATACATACAGGCGTGTAGGTTTCTTCAGTTATTCAATTTATTGTATTATTAATTTAATCAAAAAATAAAAATACATATTTATACATTTTAAACTGTCTACATTCTTATAGGTTTTCAATTTGTATGCTTATATCTGAAATCTAACATGCTACAAACATTGAGCTTTCTCATGAGGGAAGTAATCTATGTATGCATACTAAATCTAAGGGTCAGATAACCCCAAGATCCAAATTTCACTACAATTGGAAATGAAAGAAATATGCAGTAAAAGAGACTCTATACAAAAGTAACATTAGACCTTAACTTGATGGTGTGTGTTAACAGTGGGAGTGTTGCAAAACACACCAAGCAAAAGCCATTTATAACAATGATTTTGTTTGTAACAAAGGAAACAATGCTAAACTGAAACTAAGTTCATCCAAAGCAAATGTAAATTGTGTTGGAGAAAGTGATCTATAGCAGTATTAGCCCAATTCTGACATTGAACATGAACAGAAGTTCTACAGAATTTGGGAAAAATCATACCCAAGAAAAAATAATAAATTAATGGGAATAATTTTAATTGAGGTAGGAAGTGATATGACTGGTAAACACAAGCTGTAACACGTTTTGCTCTTTTGGAGTCCCCAGTCTTTACTCTTGTCCAATCTTTTCATTCCCAAAAATCATTTGTAATAAATTGAGTTTACAAGCAATATACATTGGTAGCTGCAGCTCCACACATTACAAGGCAATATAACAGAACTTTAGGTAGTGATTAAGTAAACAAATAATAAAATAGGGGCAACCAAATCTGCTGCAAAGCTAGAAACCCTGACATCAATGCTCATATGGCACTCCATCCATCTTCCTAACATGAAGAAAATACAGGTAGTAGTCTAGAGGAGGGTTCCCAATCCTGGTCCTGGAGGTCCTGCTGGTTTTCATTCCAGCCAAGGTTAATAACCTCAAATTGAAAATGGAAGCTTTAATTGAACTAGCACGTTGCTTGATTGTAACGTGTGGAAACTTTTTATTTTGTACTTAAGACATTTGGGATTTTATATTACTTTTAAAACTCAAAGAGCAAAGAGGTGATCTCCGATACGATTAAGAGAGTAAACAATCAAACAGCTCAAACTCATACTATTATTAAGTCAATCAAAGGTTCAAATGTGTAACCTGTGCTTGGCTTGAGCAAAAAACGACTGATAAAGCAGTATAGCCCTCCAGGACCAGGAGTGGAAACCCATTGTCTAGATCACTTGTAAAAGTGCGAAAAGAGTAACAGGTGGTCTTGTTTTTAGCCTCTGCTCCCAAACCCAGACGCTAAAGTGTGATTCTTGTTGACATATCACTCTGCACTACCTCTACGTTATACAAATAAAATATCCATTAAACTTTTTTTGAATATTTTATTTTGTCCAAAGCCATAATTATAATGTGCATTAAGACTGGCAGTTACATGAATTGTGGTAGTTCTTAAAATGTATCCATTTACGCCCTCTAAGTGAAAGGCATATTAAAAAAAAAAACACCTTATAACACTTACACTCGGATTTGCCGTATTGGTCCATACTTTCCAAATATATCATACATTTCTTCCGCTGTGATTTTGTAAGGAAGATTACGAATATAGAGGATTCTGTTTACTTCTGGCGGCAATCGAATCTGACAAAAGGAAACATCAAAATAATTTTTAAATAATTCAAACTTGACACTTCATATAATCACTTTAAACTAGTTAAGAAATCCTGAAGAAGATATCCATTTATAAATTGACTAAAGAGCGTCAAAATACCATTTTATCAAAAGCACCTTTTGCTAATTAGTACATTATTGTTGTATATTAGAGAAAGAGGGAAATCAAACAGTTATATTACAAGTTTGATACACGTTGAATGCATGTTTGGAAAAAAATAGTCTTTTTGTACTTCCATCGAAGTACAAACCCCATTCTTTATAAATTATGTGATTGTGCTCTTATTTAAATAAACATTTACCGAACAAATAAGTTACTGAAACAAACAAGATTTTAGCAAAACGGGCCCAGTTAGCTCAGTAACACAAATAACATAATAACTCAAATACACGATTGAAAAAGATTTAAAAAATAATTAAAACAACTTACATTAGCTCTTTTAGCTGCCTGCATAGCCATGATTGCGATTTATTTCCACAATCCTACTAACAAAAATAAAGACGCCACGAACAGTGGTTACAATCCTGATTCCTCGTTGTCTCACAGGAAGAGTGATCAAGAAAATGGACGCATAGTGATGACGTCTCTCCTATCGTAAATCTAAAGGGTAATGTTTATAGGGTACGTTCACTATGCAGACTCTTGTCGTCTTCTCCCTTTGGTGTATTCTTCGACGTTCAATAAAATCCGGTCTGCGTGAACTCCACCGGAAAAAAACAAACTTATTATTATTATTATTATTATTATTATTATTATTTACAACAGTATACAAATTTAAAAAATCGAATGAATCAATAGAACAAGAAATCAGATTGGAAATTTCAACATTACATTGTATGACACATAAAATAAGCATACTGTATATGAAGGAATTGCGAAAAACAGTTTTCATATTTTTATATTTTACACTATCCAAAAATTGCATACTAATTGAATTTATAAACTATTTGAAGCACATAGAAGTTTTAAGTACTCTGTGTAAATTGTGCTACTATTAATATAACATTTAACATTATACTGTATTAACAGTAGATGTATTAACATTATACTGTATTTACTCATAAGAGCAAGAACAATGCCCTTTATAAGTTAAATTTATAAGGATAGTTCTGCTTTTTAATCAAGAACAAACATAACAATACCAAAAGCCTGTTGTATAATGACTTGGAAAAAATCAGTTCAATAGCTTTAATACCAGACTCAGAAAAATACAGATGTTACAGTCCAAGTTTAACCTCCTTGGAAATTCATTAGAATTATATATTTTGTTAATAACTTTAACATAAATGTGTTTAGTTTTTAAAGGGGTGGGAAGAATTAAGGAATAATTATGTATTCAGTTCTTGCTCTAACACGATTCTCGTTATCCATAATCAAAATGTACTTTTCTCCTGGTAAACGGGGAGATACTCTCAGCCATATCTCAGCCAATGTCCTCTTTTTTAGGAAAGGATCATGATAACATGATACTTCAGTTCAGCATTAGCCTCTTCATAAACTATTATTTTAAAGCAATATACTGTATATACGACATATATACAGTGCTTACAATTATATAAGTTTTGTTTGTATAAAAATTGCCAATTAAAAAAACCTGTAGATGAAAAGCAGAGTCGATTTAGAATTCAAAGTCTCACTCAAACGAAACATCTCGCCCAAGCTGAAAAGTCTATACAGCCACACAGCTCCACAAGTCGCTAAGCATTAGAGCACCCAAAACAACCATAGAGCGTCATGACAAAGAAATTTGTAATTTGAAATTTGTAAACTGTTTTAATCCTCCTTGCATCTTCTAGCGCCATCTACCCAGGAGGTGTGGAACGTCTGTGAGTTGAGATGCTCGTGTGTGAATTCCTTGAAATTGCAAAAATAATTTCCATGTATTAAAGTAGTAGATAATGTTATTTACAGAGACATAATCACCGGTGTTATTATAATTGTACGTACGTGTATTAATGTAGATAGATAATCTATGAAAATATATTGTATTATATCCTGCTTTGTAGGTTTGTATGATTGTATGATTGTGTAAATTCCTCCACTCCATTTTTGCATTGCAGCCCTAGGAGGTATACTCTCCAGCACAGGGGAGCTGTTCTCGGACTTGGGAAGTCTGTGCTTTAAATGTTTTGGGAAAACTATGTTGATCTATCTGCAGTTTTATCTGAGCTGCAGTATTTCTTCATTTTCTTTTTCAATAAGGAATCAGTATTGCAATTCTGGTTGTAGCTATTGTTTTAAAAGTCACAACGTTCACAATTCCACATTAATCGCTAGTGTAACGAATACGCCCCTGAGCTCGGTCGGCAAGTTGGAGTGACGCCGGAGACTCGAGTTCCTGCCCAGGCAGTGACGAACTGACAGGGCAGGAGCGGCAAAGGAGGAAACCCAAAGAAATGTTACAGTAGCCTGTATCAGACAGAAGGAAGATGCGATAACACCATTTTCTAAGTTCTGACAAAGGGACACAAGAGGGTGAACTATTAGTTTTAAGATAAAAAAAAGCTCATACCTCTATGGAGGAGGACAAAAGGAAAGGACAGCAGCTTTCCAAAATGTTCACTAGAGCAGTGCTAAACTTTTGATGGCAATGTGAGCTATATGTGACTCCAAAAGGCGGGGCAGCAACTTTGGTAACTGGGGAGACTCTGAGAGTTGGTGAGGGAGAAAGCTACCAATTCAGCAATAAAAATTAAAACCAATTTCTGCTTACAACAGACAACATCAATACTTTATTGTACATGTAACAGTTCTTGGGGTTTCCTTCCTTGCCGCTCCTGCCCTGCCAGTCCGTCCCTCAGTGGGCATGAACCCGGGTCTCCAGTGTCACGCAACAGGGAACTTGGCAGCTGAGCTAAAGGAGAACTCCCCCAGCCAGGGCGGCTGAGATCCCTGTTATACGCAGGGGTATATTTGTTACATACAGCTTACATATCAACGAACAGCAAAAGCACTGCCAGCAGACACCAGCAGAAACAAAGCAACTTAAATGTGTCTTGGATCATTTGCTGCAGATGCTATCTGACTGGACAGAACCACAGATCTATGTCTAAAGAACCTATGTCACTCAGTCATCCCCAGTGAGCTTTTCATCCTGGCCCTGGATATCCTTGGAGGATCCTGTCTGGCTGTCACCAAGGAGGACAGCAGAGAATGAAGACTCATTTGCCTGTGCACAAACCATAAACCTAAATAACAGAAGTTACATGACCATTTTTCTGGGGTTGTGGCAATAAAGGACACCTGCAGCAACAGTACAAGCACCGGAAAAAAAAAGCCTCAGAGAATCAGAGAAATTATAATAATGAAAACATATTTTAGACTGTTGACTCTATCACAGTGGAAACCATAAAACAGGGCCCTGATCAGCAGTGGGAACAATCTGTGCATCCCATAAGTCATTGAGGAACTGTGGGTTCTCATTGACACTGGTCATTTACTCTATTGACACCTGCTCACAGCACTAAGGACACAATACCGAGTGTTGCAGCAAAAGCATAATGTGCCAGGGTCAGCTGAAAGTGTAAGTTTGAATGGTGGCCTCTTAAAAACCATGAGTTCTGGGAGCCTGCTTACTTTGCTTAGGAGAAGGCACTGTCCCTTCATTAGTTAGTGGGAGAAGGAAGGTCAACATGGAATGATGGGCTGGTTGGAAAGATGATTTAATCCATTGAGTGTTAAGTCTAGTGCAAATCAGGGAGCAAACACACAGAAAAGAAGCAATATATCCCGTTTTTAAAGAAATCAATGCCTTTTATGCCAAATGTTAATTGGAGGATGAACTATGTTACCTCAGGTGATGTCATTTGTTCTGTCATTTTGTATGTCAATGTTATGTCATTTGGCATGTAAGGAAAGCATGGAAGTTAGTATTTCACTCTGCTTAGGTACATATGACAAAAAACTTGAAGTTGAACTTGAGACGCCATGTGGCAAAAACCAATGAACAGGCACATCCTTATCCAGGCTTCAGGAGAGGAATGGGACAGAATCAGAAAAGACAGTATCTGCAACCTGGAGCAAACCTTGCCTTGTAGATGTACAGTATAGCTTATACCTGTATTTATTCCCACTGTGGCCTTACATATTACTGGCTTGTGTCTTTCATAGTAGAGTAGACACTCTATTGATAAACCACTTTAACAAAAAATGTTCATCAGCATAATTGATTTACTTACATCATGTCTGTTCAAGGGTGTCACAGTGGCTAGCATTGCTGCCTTATAACACTGAAAGCCTTGGTTTAATTCCAGACCTAGGTTGCCATTGGCATAGAGTTTGTATGTTCTCCCCATGTTCATGTGTTTTTCCTCTGGGTTCTCCAGTTTCATCACATAGTCGAAGGGCATACTGGTCAGTTATTTGGCTTCTGGGAAAACTGGGCCTGGTGTGAGTGTGTGTGTCTCTGTTTGTGTCTGTATGTGCCCTGTGATGGACTGGTGTTCCCTCCAGTGTGTACCCTGGCCTTGTGCTTTTGCCTGTAGGTACACACTCCTGCTTCCACTTGACCCTGAATTGGAAAAAGTAGTTAGAAAATAGATTGATGGATAAATGATAATATTATTTTGGTGCCAAAACAGTATCAAAATAATCTAGAGATTAGTCCAAGAATGTAAAAAAGTACAATAAATTGGACAACGTTTTAATTCTCAATGCTTCATGTATTCACAAAAACGTTGTAGTTTTGATTAAATGTTATTTAATTTACATGTTTCCCACAAATCGTGTATTTCTAATAATGGCAAAAGATACAAAACTTGATCATGGGTAACTGAGCTTCAGCAATAATGTTGTAAGTTTAAGATGACAAGGGCTACCATATCTGAACATTGAAAACAGAGGACAGTCGATTGAAGGGAGGTTGGCTGGTGATATTTGTACCACTATATTGATCTCTTCAGAACGAAAACTGAACGGGGCTAGACAAGTCTACGACTGTAATAAATCAACAAACAGACGCTCCCTCGAACGGTCATCTCTCTTTATCCCAATAACCATTTCGAATCGATAACCTCTGGGGCAAAAGAATAAGGAAACATCCCGAACCGTTTAAGACTAAAAATGAGGATATGTTACGTATGGTAACAGTATAAAAAACATCATAATACGTGTTTTACATTTATAAAACGTTTAGGCAATAAATCATGATATTTGTTCTTGCGTCCAAACGTACCAGTTTGTAAAACCCACCCTCTCCATTTTCACTGATGTAAGTTTTTTTGTACAGTCCTCTCCAATAACATTAGTATATCTTATATCATCAGAAGAGTTTCTAAAAACTAAAAAAATCACAAAGAATCCCCCTCGCGCACTACAATTAGATCAGTCCAAACTTGTAAAAAAAAACGTTTTCTAGGAGTTGTCTTTTATTGAGTAATGGCGGCTTTTTGACGTTCGAAGTGCTGGTGCACGGTGACTTTACTACTTTGAACTTTAAATCAATTACATAAAGAAAACAAGTAAACCGGCGTATTTTTACGTGGGTTTGTATTAGTGATTTCGAATGCATTTGCTAGGTCACGTGTTAGGGCTTGGATAGATAATAAGAGGAGACCAGTTTAGATGTTGGCGGGCTGTGAGGTCAGTCCATTTGACAACAGTGCACGGAAACGGTGAGTATGTGTGGTTTATATTCACATTTTAACAACACAATTTAAAGGCCTAGCGACTGCACACTGATAGACAAAATCAGTTTAAGAAAAGGATAAATTTGCCATTAGTGGGTGGGAGAAATATACTGAGGTAGGTGCAGTTTTGGCTACAAATACAGACGTTGAATTTCTCATTTTAATCAGACGCTGTGGATTTTGTATGGCGAAAAGGTAATCCGCGTTGATGAATCTTTGATAATCAAAGCTCACTGCACCCTGACCGTTAGTTTGTGGAGTTTCCGTGGCTTTAACTTATTAATGTGCACTTATCGCTGGCGTGAACCACTCCCAGCTAATCCTCTTTCGCTCTAGACCTCAACATCCGTAGGAAACAAGAACATTAATTTTAAAATATTGAATGTTTGAAGATACAACGAAGAAACGCCCGAATGAAACTGAAATATATTTGGGAAAACAGAGTGGTAAATGAGAATGAGACAAGGTATGAGGCATAAATTACAAGGACTGAAAGGAAATGCGTTGTGTGTAGAAATGTTGAGTGTATTTTACTGATTTACATATTAAAGACCAAGATATTATCACATTAAAGTTTACATGATCCGCGTATTTACTCTTGCGATATCTGGGCCAATTGCAACGAACTGATCCGGCGTATTTACTGGGGATGAGCTGATTGTTAATACGCAGCTCCGTACACTAAATTAATCCCAGTTACAACACATTGTTAGTTTCCCAGCTCCGTACTAAAAAAAAAATCCTTAATTAAAATGAGCCATAAGTAGCAGCTGCTGTCCTCTACAAGATATTTAAATGCAGGGCCAAATTGGTACAATTGCTGTAGGCCAAGTAGTACCGTACTAAAGAGAACACTGGCTCGCATGGGTAAGCTCCGAATGTAGGAATGGCAGCAGAAACTTCAGCAGTTTGTTTCTGAAATATGATATTACCGTGAGACGGACACAGTAATTTTGTGAAATTTATTATAATATTCAACTAAAATTGTCTTCAACCACAATACATTTACATTTCATGTTTTCCTCATGAAGTAAGGTGTCATCAGTATTAGATGTTCTAATGCACTTAGAGCCTGCAGTTCGCAACAGAGAGATCTGGGCGATATAGAGAGAGATGTGCGAAAGAGGCAAGCTGCAATCTAGGCAAATGAATATACGTAAACTGAATGTGACTGATTAAGCGTGTTCTGTCGCGTCTTGGACTCATTTGAGTATTTACTGTGAAGGAACTCCAGACACGTGATTCTTATAGGGCATCATGGGTATTGAGGAACAGGGATACAGTGGTTTCAATATGTTGTTTTGTGGTAAACTAAGAATATATACAAAGGAGATCCCTTGGATCTCAGCTGAGGCTTCATCATGTAATCTTTGGCAAAAGTTTGGGTCATTATCAAATCTGTGGAGACCCAGCTACTCCGAATGGTAAAGATCCACAGACCTAAACTGGAAGATACTCAGATTAAGGGCAACAAATATAGCACATGAAAGTGCCTGAGGTTTACTTTTACGGTGTTTATACACATAACTGTAGCCTAAGCCTAACATAAAAACACTACATGTGTTCTCTTAAGCATCTCAAGTGTCTCATTATGTTCTCTGTCATTTTTCAGTGGAGTCAAAGCCACTATGATATGTCACATGATCAGATTCAGTCCCAAAAGCAGCTGTGCTTGGTTCCTGGCACCTTAAAATTGGTAGGATAGGTTGAGTAGGTTGTGTGTCCTCATCTGGAGTATTTTAGTTTACATGTATTTAAGGTTAATTTTAATTAAAGCTGAAAGTTTATGTTGTGTATGTGTATATATATATGACAGAGTAATAAATGTTAAGAACTGCCCATATAGTAGCTTGCTAGTACCAATTTTTTAAAAAATTGTTTGTCAGTTTCTTTTCTTTATGCTTTTATTTGGCTGACCCTTTTGTCCAAAGTGATTTATAATGAGGTGAAAAGTTACACCGCCTTAAGATTTTATGGTTAACATTTAATCTTTACCCAGTCCTCAAGAAGTACAAATAGTACATAAAACAAACCACATTGGAGTGTATACAAATTCTTCGTTATTTAGAACAAAAGGTCTGTGTGGAAAAACTGCATGCTTATTTCTACCATCTCAGTTAAGATTCTACACATCGTCAGGTTCACCAAAATGTGCAAAATGGTTAGTTGATACTCAGGAAGTGATTCCACATATATTAAATCTGAAAGTCTCAATTTGATCTTAAGGTTTGTGGTAAAATCGTGTCCAGAACAAAATAAATGTGACCATTTGGAGAGTGGTAAGCAGCTACAGTTCTCCCCTGGGAAGGGTTTAAAGCAATTTCCAAACAATATGAAGTCCATCATACCATGGTAAGAAAGATAATCTACAAATGGACATAATTCAAGACCATTGCCTGTCTACCCAGGAGTGGCTGTCCTACCACATTCTCTTCAAGATCTGACTGTTTAGTGCTCCTAGAAGTCTTAGAAAACTCCAAGTATTTGAGTCCATGATCAGGAAAAGATTGAATAAGAATGACTAATAAAAACTAGAAGGAAAACCTTCCTCTCTAAGAAGAACATTTCTACACCATTTAAGTTTTCAAAGCAGCACATTGGAACAAGACTTCTGGAACAGTGTTCTCTGGACAAACAAGTCAAAAGTGGAGTTTAGTGAAAACCAAATGCTGCCTTTGACCAGAGGAACCTGGTATAGTACGAGTTCCGTACTATACCAGAATAGCCTAGAGGAAAATGTAAGGCTCTCTGTCCGACAGCTACAACTAAACCGAAAGTGGATCATGTGAAAGGGCCACACAGGAGATGTTTATTATGGGTTATTGCTGCTAAATGGGGTGCCACAATTTCTGTATGTTTCTGTATGTATATTTCTGTATTCAATTTCTTGAATGCTGGTGAGCACTTTTTCCACACAAAGATGGAGTGCTGTCTGTTTTTTTTAAAAACATAATACATACATAACAAAGTACAATTTTTGTGTTTTGTCCAGTAAGTTTATTTTTTCTACTATTAGGACTAATTGAAGGTTAAATGTCTAAATATGTTACATCCACTTCAGATTTTATGGTTTATTTTTTCACCACAATGTACCTTGTACCCATTTATATACTTTTGTACTGAAGTAACTTGGGTAAATAACTTTGCTCAAGGGTACCACAGCAGTGTGTGACCTGGGATATGAATCCTTGGCTAATAACCTAATGATTGCTGATATGATAGCGTGGGATGCCTGCAGGCATTTTTGGGATTATCAAAACTCTAAGCAAGGAGCATGTGTAGGTCAGTTTACAGGTTTGTGGTTAACAAGAGAAACCTGTTTTCATATAATAACAATGTCAAACTAGTGTGAGACCTTTCTTTGTAATATAGAAAACATGAACTGCTTGTACATGTGTTCTAATTCTGGACCTTTTATATCAAGATGTTGATTGTTAATGATATAATCAAAGTATTTTCTACTCACTGTCTGTAGTGTGTTTTGTAAATCATCGGAAAATGTAAAACTATTGGAGTACTTTTTTATACATTATAAACTTGGCAATTTCAGTAATTGTTTCACATTCAAGATCTCCTCTAACGCCAGATATGTTTCCACCTTGTTAGTGAGTATTTTAAGCTTGCAGGTTTTTAGTTGAATGCTATAGTGATCCATTGGTAAATGTTCTAAACCTTCATCCTAAGTATTTTTTTTAATTTTGAGGTTATTTAATTGCTGATTAAAGTGTAAACGCCAGTAATATTATACTTGAAGATGAAGCATATTTTGTGTGATGTGTTTTTGTTTAGAATTGCATGTGATGTTAACTTTTGACAAAACGTTTGTTTTTGTTTTTTACAGAGATGCAGAAGCACAAATATCTTCTGTAAAATCCTTTGACTGTGTGGATTCTGCATTTTCTTCACAATGTATTCAATTCCTGGACTTCCAGCACCTGGCTCAAACATTACTGTTCATATTACAAGGGTCAATCTAAACCCACTTTGTGTTTTGGTGGAGCTATGGGGTAGTTTTGCTCAAGAAAGTAAGTTAGAATATCAGCGAATGAGAGCAGACATTCAGTTTCCGAAGGAAAGGTTTAGTGGAGTAGAAGGAAATCCAGGAGATCTGTGTCTGGTACAAATACTTGAAACATGGTACAGAGCTAGAATAGTCACCAGACATGGGAAAGATTATGATGTGTTCCTTATTGATGAAGGAAAGACACTTGCTGTTAATTTTTATAATTTGGCCTGGGGTCAAAAAGACTTATTTCTCTTGCCACCTGAGGTGGAATTCTGTGTTCTTGCAAATATTTTACCTCTTTCACCAGAGAATAAATGGTCTCCAGTGGCTTTAGAGTTTCTTAGCTCTCTGCGTGGTAGAAGATTTGAAGGATATGTCCAAGATGTGCTGATACCCCATAGAACTTTCCTCCTTGACATCCCTAGTATATCCAAACAGATGTATGAAATGGGATTTGCCAAGAAGTTGTCCAGTGAAATGTTTAAATTCTTTGTTGAAAGATCATTGAAGTCGCTTACTGGGGCAGTCGCCATCCCAGAAAATAAGCTGTTTTCATCTGATAAAGGAAAAGACCAAACAGAGAGCACTGCTCCCCACAGAGCAGAGCTTATTCAAAGCACACAGGTTTACTTCTATCCACAAATCCAAGCAGAAACAGTGGAGACTGTTATCATTACAGAGTTAGTGCATCCTTCACGTTTTTTTTGCCAGTTGAGAGTTTTTTCTCAAGAGTTAAAGAGAATGACGGAGCAGATAACACAGCATTATGAAGGGAGGTCAGGTATAGAGAAGATCAAATCTGAAGCATTAGGCTCTGCTTGTGCTGCAAGAGGCAGCGATGGCAAATGGTATCGGTCAGTATTGCAGCAAGTCTTTCCGTGCAAGAATGTTGTGGAGGTGTTGCATGTAGATTATGGGATTAAAGAATGTGTTCCTATTGGTAGCCTTAGGTCATTAGCCCCCGAGTTCTTCAGAATGCCTGTTGTTACTTATGCGTGTTCAATGCTGGGCATAAGTGATCAAGGTGCTGGATGGTCAACTTCTCAGGTTAAATATCTGAAATCCTTACTTCTCAACCAGGTTGTGATTGCAAAATTTGAATATCAGAACTATTCAGAAGGTGTCTATTATGTGACCCTTTATGGAGATGAAAACATGAATATAAATAACTTGTTTGGAATGAGAGAGAAGTGTTTGTTAGAAGTGCAGAAATCACCTGGTGAATATGCCATTTGTAAAACAGTATCTCCAAAATCTCTAGCATCACTGGGAAAAAGAGGTCAAGGTGATTGTCTAGTCCCCAAAACTCTTGTAGAAGGAAGACAGGCGAAGTCAGCAGCAGGAAAATTGAAACTAAATGCTTCTTGTGAAGCAGTTGTAGAATTTGTAGTTGACCCCTCTGAATTCTGGATTCGTAAACATGAGTATAGTGTTGAATTTGACCAACTGATGAACAGCATTAGTAACCTTTATGACAATGCACCTGAAATGGAAGGGATTGTCAGAACTCCTACAGTTGGACTTTACTGTGTTGCCAAGTCAAAGGACAGTTCATTTTATAGGGCTGTTGTTAATGAAGTCCTTGGACAGCAGGTGAAGGTGTATTTTGTGGATTATGGAAACACAGAAATTGTGGATTGGCACAACCTTAAAGTTCTTCCTTCAAAATACCAGGAGCTACCTGCTTTAGCACTGAAGTGTTGCCTGTCTGGCATTTATCCTAAGGACGATAATTGGAGTCGAAATGCAATTATGTTCTTTACAAAAGCAGTTGCAGATAAGGTACTTGAAGTCTGTGTGTCGGCAAAACTCCCAGACAGATATGCTGTCCATTTAACATCTGCATTAGCTGATGGAGAGCAAAGTATAAATAAATTACTGTGCAGTGCTGGTTATGCTGAGTGTCGGGATTTTAAGAAACCTGTCTCCAAACAAGGAAGGGTGCCTCTTCCTGGACCGAAAGTGCAATGTTCAACAGAGAAGAATTCACATTTGGATGCAGCAAAAGACTATTCTTGTCCTTTGTCCAGCAGCATTCCTGCAGTAGGTTCTGAAACTAAGCCCGTCTTCAAAGAACACCTTTTTCCAATTGGAAGTTCTGTAGGGGTAAAAGTATCACATATTGAAAGTCCAAATGATTTTTGGTGCCAGATCTACAAAAACCTATCAAGTCTTAATTTAATGATGCGAGACATTCAGAGTCACTGTTCTACTTCTCCTGAACTTTACCAGCCATCCGAAACTGCCTGTATAGCTCGGTGCCCTGAAAATGGATTATGGTACAGAGCATTAGTAATCAAAAAACATTCTTCACTAGAAGTTGATGTTTTGTACATAGATTATGGCAAAATGGAGAGGGTTTTCATAAAAGACCTACGAGCTATAAATCCCTTGTTTCTTCAGATGGAAGGTCAGGCTTTTCGATGCAGTTTGTACAACTTGATTCAAGCTTTTGGCCATGATCCTTTGAACTGGAGTGATGCTGCAAAATCTGAGTTTCAGGACTTTGTAGATATTGCAGACTCTACTGGTTTGGATTTGAAATGTACCATTTATGCAGTTATGTATGATTCCAGCAAAGTGGTATTCAACGTGGTAGATCTTGAAACACCATTTCAGAGTGTTTGCAGCTTGCTAGTTCAGAAGGGTTTAGCCCAGCGTGCACCTCTGAAAAAAGCCCCCCAGCCACCATTCCATCTAGATACCTATTACTATTCTTCACACGATATTAAAATTGGAGGCGAAGAGGAAGTCTTTGTTACATATGTGAAAACTGTTGGCAATTTTTACTGTCATCTTGGAAAAAATGTTGACATAGTGGAGCAGCTGGCGGAAAAAGTAAACTATCTATGTCAACAGTTGGAGTGCACAGGTTGTCCCCAAACATTTGGTACAGTTTGCTTTGCAAAGTACAGTGATGGAAAATGGTACAGAGGACAGATTAAATCTTACATCCCAACAATACAGGTGTACTTTGTTGATTACGGTGATACACAAGAAGTAGACAAATCTGACCTACTTCCAATTCCTATTGAAGCTAGTGAACTTATGTCTGTCCCAGTCCAAGCTGTTGCATGTGGCCTTTCAGATATTGCAGCAGATGTACCAGATTATGTTAATGTCTGGTTTGAGAATGTTGTCGTCGGCAATAGTTTCAGAGCTGTAGTAGTGTCAAAAGAGCCATGTGGAAAACTCATGGTTGACCTCTATGATGGAAAAATGCAACTGACTTCAAAGCTTAAAGAAACATTTCCTGGAGAGACTTCCACTAAAGAAAACATTTATTTTGAAGCACATGGTACCAGTTTAAGAAAGAGAGAGGATTCATTCTCCAAGAATTCAAGAACCATCAAGACTAGAGATACCTGTGAAGTCAGATCAATGCAACAGATGAGCAGTGATAATAGTGGAAGTGCAAAAGTTATACGTTCTCAGTCCCGTGATGAGGGCATCCAGCAAGACCAGCAAAATAAAGTGAAACAGTTCTGTAGTGTTGCAGTTCAGTGGGCACCTGAAATAAATGATGGAACGTCTGAAAACAAATATAAGGACCAGATTTGTCCATTGACATTGGAGTGCAGTAATGCCCCTCCTGTGGAATCTGTGGAAAGTAAAGGTAAACATGGAAAGGACTCTCATGCACCTTTTGGTTCAAGAGAAAATGTTGTACAAAAGATTAAATCTTTGCCTCTACCTAAGCTTCAGGACCTTCCTTCAAAATGTATAAAACCTGGCCTGGTATGTGAAGTATATGTGTCACATTCCAATAGCCCTTCTAGCTTCTTTGTCCAGTTGACAAAAGAGGAAGAGGAAATATATTTGATTGTAGAAAAACTAAACCGAGATCTGCCAGCCATTTCATGTGTTGATATTGACAAACTGCAACCAGATGATTTAGTGTGCGCGGAATTTCCTGATGATAATTCTTGGTATCGTGCAGTTGTAAAAAATACATATGGAAATGGCACACTGGATGTAGAATTTATAGATTTTGGCAACACGGCAACCATTTCTTCTTCAAATATCCGTTGGCTTGATAAATCCTTCTTGAAAGTCCCTAGGCTCAGTGTTCACTGCTTGCTAAGTGGAGTGCAAAGTGCTATTTCCAAACCAGAGTGGCCACAGATAGCTTTGATGCACTTCAAAGAAGCTATTGGTGAAAGTGAAGGAGGTAAAAAATTAACTTGCAATTTCATAAAGCAGTCAGGATCACTTTGGGAAGTCTCTCTTCAGGACCGGAGTACCTTGTTAGCAGATTATTTAATAGAGCATGGTTCTGCAGTGAGTTGGGATAGTGGTGTTTTAAAGGATCCTGATAGCCAACCAAAGCCTTCAGGAGGGACCATTTCAGGAAAGTCTTTTCTTCCCAGAAAGCCAGCAGATGATCCCAGCACAGAAATATTGCCATCACGGTATAAAAGTTGTAACATTTCAGAGGGGCAGACATTAGAGGTCTATGCATCTTCTCTGGTAAGCCCTGAATACTTCTGGTGTCAGTTTGCAGATTCAGATAGCCTTCAAATTATCGCTGAATTAGCTGATGAAACGGGAAACTCTGTGGACACAAGTGCTAAATTTATAGAGGATCTCTTTCCTGGAAGCCCATGTCTGGCACTGTTTAAAGACGATGAGCATTGGTATCGTGCTGAAGTGAAATCGAAAACCCAAGATGTCCTCTCTATACGGTTTGTGGATTATGGAAATGAAGTTGAAGTAGACCATGATTCAGTGAGACCAGTACCTTCTGAGCTGCTGGAAATTCCTACACAAGCGTTTTTATGCTTGTTGGAAGGCTTTGATCATTCTTGTGGTTCTTGGGATATTGGTGCCATAGATAAATTCTATGAGCTTCTTGCAGATCAGCCTCTGGAAGTCACCATTTTGAATTGTGAAAAGCCTGAAATTGACGAACCTTCTTTATTTAATGTTAAAGTTCAGTGCAATGGGCAATTAATAACTGATGTGATGAGGAATTACTGGAAAGGCTTTGTTGCTGGTAGTGATGATGAAATGGTGGACTTGGAACAGGAGCTCCCACAATTGGAGTCAACTGAAATACTTCAACATGAAGATGTCATTGAACTCAAGTTAGCAGTCCAGAGAACTGTAACAGATTTTTTAAGTCTTCAGGGAGAGGTTGAAATGAATGCTGAGCAGAGTATAAGTCCTACTAATATTCCTGATGAATGCTATTTAAAATATAAAACAAAAGTCATAACTGAATTGCAAGAAGTGGAAGAAATCACTGAAGGAACCTTGCAACAACCAAACGTTCAGCTTAATTTTCAGTATGAACAAAATCTTGAAAGTGTTGAAGAAAAATGTGTTGAACTTGCATGTCAAATTTCTGCATCGGGTCACCAAGAGACTGTTTTTGATGAAGTGCTTGAATCCAGAACACCGACTTCAACAAATGGTGAACCTGAAAGAGGTCAATGTCTGCTTAAAGAAAGTAATGAAAAAAATGAAGTATTTACAAACATGGTGGAGGATGCAACTGATAACGCGTGTTTGAAAATGGAGCAGATGGTGTGCGATGTGGATGCAGATGCAGACCTTAAGCTTGTTGCCTCGTGTGACCCAACTGTAGAATTGTCTGAAAATGGAACCATCATTGTAAACAAACCTCTGCAAGATCTTCCATATAACTGTCCACTAGAAAACAATCCAGATAACCTTACGGAAGGCTTGGATAAACATAATGCAGGAGTACCATCTTCACAAGAAGAAAATGGATGGGAAAATGCAGCTAAATTAGGTCTTGGAGATTTTAAAGATTTGGCAATGGCTGCTTGTAGCATAGAACTTGTAGAAGATGTTAAAACATCCTATGCAGAAAATCAAAATCGCAAGCCCTTGGAAACCTTGAGTGCATCCTCCCTTACAGAATGCCCCAGTTATAAGCTGGGTGAACCAGCTGATGAAAGCTTTGATGAGCTTTTGGATTCCCAAGAAGATCTTTGCTTTGATGAACAGGTAGAGGGCAGTGACATCTATGAGGAGGTTTTCAAACAATGTCTAACAGACCCCTTGTCTGCAAACCCTACTGATTTGAAAGAGGCAGAAGATTTCCCCACTGAGATGGAGGTCCACAGGGCGCAAAATGTGGAGCCAAGAACTGAACCAGGTTAGTCAAAAGGTCCCACTAAAAGCTTAATGTGAATCTGCTTTTGGAAAAACGCATAACTGCAGAAGGTTTATACATCATCCTTTAAGCCAATATAAAAATTTCTCATTATTAACAGGGGTTTATGTTGATCATAAAGGGGACAAATACGGTCATTTAATTCCTTCAGAAGAGGGGCTGTTTATTAGCCAACCATCTTAGATTTTACTGGGGAAAAAAAGAGGTGTTGGGTCCAGTGAATTATTGTTTTCAAAGAAACAAGTAGAGGTTATTTCCATGTTGAAAACTTAGAAAGCATTTCTGCTATGCAGCCTTCTTTACCAGAAATCAGCTCTCCATTTTCTCCTTGCAGCAGGTGTCTTTGCAAAATCTGTCAACGTTTAATAGCAGACATCTGTGATAAATGATAGAAATGAGAGTACCTTGTGATGTAGTTGGGGAAAAATAAATACTTGGCTGCATCTCTGGTAGGGTTGAAAAGAACTCGGCAACCTGAGATTCAACTTAAGAAATCACTCAAAAAAATGAGCTTTCAAGAAAATAAATACTAGGAATACCTAACTCCTCTGAAAACTTAACATATTAACACTATTTTGATTTTTTTTCTGACTTTATCTCAGCCTAACCCTTTATGTTGTGGTTAAGAATGATAATTGTGAAACTTATGGACTAAGTTATAAATTTTGCAAAACATGTTTTAAGTCTCCCCTATAGGAGTCTGCAAAAATCCAGCAAGATTTTTTGAGGGATTTAATTCTTATGTGTTTTAGTCATGATTTTTGTAATGGTGTCTGTGAGGAAAAAAAGACTAGTGCTTTCCTACCTAGTGTCCTGCAGTGAGGTGTAGTCCTTCCAGTGCCACTTGATTGGAGCAGAACACAGTTATGATTTTACATTTGGGTATTTTGTTCATTTGTTAAGATGACATTTAAGACTACCAGAACTTAACTAAGTTGCATTTTCCATAAATTTGTTGTTTATGAAATGCAACATTGATTACACTTTTCAACTTAGTATATTGTTCTTAAAAACAAAGGTGGTTGTGCAGAACAACTCTAAGCACTTTGTTTCCTGTATGGTACTTGTATTTAGGACTTAATTTGAAGTGGTTTTAATCATTCATTTCTAGGTTTTAGTCAACTGGAAGGAGAACTTTCTATTGGCTCAAACTGTGTTGTGTGGTCCTATGTGTATAACACTTGGTGCAAAGCAAGAATTCTGAAGATCTATGTTGACAGGATAAAGGTATGTAAGCCCAAACACTAAATCTAATGAAGTACTTTAAAAGGTCTATGCATGTTTGAAGTAGATAAGTGTTTTGTTTCCTAATCTCATTTTACAGTGGGAAAATTTAGAAACTGGAATAATGATGTTTCTGGGAGACATATTTGAAACAAGGAGGATGTTTTAGACTTTTGCTAATTTATGAAATGGTTATCTGTTTTCTGCTTGCTACTAAATGCTGGCTCTTCCCTATTAAAAGTTTTGTTTTGTCTTGCCACATTAATGTTAATCTGCAACTTGACTTGGCGTTTCATGATATTTCAGAAAAGCATTTAAGCATTATTCAATTATGAATTCTATTTTTTATTAATGTCTAATTACTACACGATGTGGAAGAATGTACTAGAAATAAGATTTTTGGATGTAAGCAAAGATCTGGGATTAAAAGAAACCTATACAAATAAATGAGAGCTCTTCATTATCAGGCTTAAGAATTGAAATATTTAGCTGCTTTTTATTTTTAAGAGAATATGTATTTTCTAGTTTACTTGAAGTTTCCAAACCACGTTTAGACCTCAAATGGTTTTTAATTTGTAGCAGTTGGTGTCAGTGACTGTGCATCAACATTTTTAGTACATTTTCTTAATGTAAAACTATTGTTTATCATACAGGTGTTGCTTTTGGAATCTAATGCAGAAGCTATAGTGGACTTGCAAAATATCTGGAAAAACATTCCTGAAGGAATAGTTCATCATGCTGAGGTTGGTAGAAAGCTTATGATCTTTAATGTTAAAAGTTGTACTTGTTTTTACAGGAGGTGTACTCCATTCCTGAGAGGTTATAAAAGAAATTAAGACTTATATTCTATAGAATCTAACCCTTTTATATATAGGGCATTTGAAAGCTTTCAACTGACATGGGGAGAATGCAGTTGTTCTTCTAGTTGTACTTAAATCCACATCCACAGGGGAACAGATCTAGGGGGATTATATGAAAAACTATTTGCAATAACTTCTCAAAAGGATCTTTACCTGGTTCTTGATGGTTCTATAGGTGGCACTCTTCTGCAGATTAATTTCCATATCAGTTAGCATAACTTTGGTGAAGGAAATGCCATCTTTCAGATGAAACATTAAACCAAAGTTCTGCCTACTTGCTCATTAAAGATCTTGTAAATATTGTTAAATGAGTAGGAGTGCTAACCTGGATGTCCTAGCCTAATTCCACTCTGGGTTTAGACAATGTGGTTTCCTAAATTTCTCTACATTACTGAAGGGATGTCTCACTGGAATGTAGTTGGGGCTGGTGGTGCATATTGGCTGCCAGGCATCACCCAGGCGGGTACTGTACTGTACTGTACTGTGGCATATGAAATGATTGCACTTCTATATGTGATGCATCTTATGATAGATGCTATTTAAATGCACACATACGTTGTTGGGGAAGGTGCATATGTAAAAGTTTATCCTGTGAAGCTGCAATGATTTGGGTCATATTTATTCCGTAAAGAGTATTTATTGAAAATGTGTAGGCCGCTTAGTCTAATTTATAATCTACCATTAACTTGTTTCTGCATGTGATCAAGTAGGGTGTTGCTTTTTTGTTTTTTAAATATACAGCCAGTAAAGGTTTCAAGTGCTGAAGTGGATCTCGTTTCTTCAGAATATGCTGCCAAACAAGGTAAGCTTGTGATGGGATTGAACAACTACGGTGCTTGATTGCCGAGTTTTTTTTCACTCCATCTCAGACCTTAATGTTTTAATTGAACCAGTTAAGTGTGCAAGCATAATCAGCTGTTTTAAAGGTTGTAAACATGTGAGAATTGAAAGGTGACCCTTTTTTACCCCCCTGACCTAGGATTTCCATTTAAGTAGATGGCTTTTCTCTTGTTGTAAAGGCTTATCAATTGTGTGAAAGTAGGACACAGAATCTAAACTCTTATTATTCTTCTATTTTTATTTATGAATAGAATTACATCTGAAGGTGAGCACATTACTGTGTGTGGGTCAGAAGGCTGAAGATTGTATGCATTCCTATAACTTGGCTATTTTCTTTGTATTTTAGATGCGTCTTTACAAGATGATGAAAAGATTGACAGTGGAATTGATGCTACTACAACAATCCCTTCTTTCTGCACTGAAGAACAACAATTGGTAGCCTTTTAAACTTGCAAATAGCTAAATTAGTTTACGTCACAAATATTTAATCTGCTTTTATTAAATATTTTTAGCAATTATTTTCTTGAAATTTTCCTTTCCTTCAGGTTTTCTGACCGAAGAGTAAAGTTGTAATTATATAAGTACCTTATGTACGCCTTTCCTTACAAAGTACTTGTTACCTGAATATTGGAGTTATATTCTGTAGTCTTGAGCTATTATTATACTGAATGTTATGCTGGCAACAAGTGATAGACTAAAATGTTTCCATCCAAGGTTCAGGCTGACCCTCAGGCAGTCACTGCTGGTGTTGAATCGGGGAAAGTTCCTGGTAAGTGCTTGTATAGATATTATGTTGTTGTCTTGTACCCTATGCGTGTCCTTTGCAACTTCTGGTCAATGGAGTAAATTATTATTTTTGTGGGCTTTCCCCACAAAGATGGAGTGGTACCTCTCTCAGGCAGTATACAGTAAATACTTTTGAAGCTTATCTGAATTTAGAAAAACTATAGTAATGCTTTAAACTTTTACTTTCTCTTGAACATGTGAGTGTGCAGCTCAGCTTTTATGTTTTGATTTTCAATTAAATTCTTTCATAATTTGAAGTATAATCATGTGAAATATCTCCGTATTGAGCACTGGAATTACTGATCCGTTATTATGAATAAAGAGTGCCGATACAAAATGTAGGTCCTTTGGTCATAATCCAACAGATGGTAGCTCTGCACCCTAGGCTTTGCCGCTAAGTACATACTGTACATCAAATATCTGAGCCCGTAGTTCCTGTTGTACTGAGCAGGATTTCTACTGTAACAATGCATCACCAGTAGGACTTTTCCCTGTGGACATATTCAGAATCGTCAGAGGACACAAGTCGAAACCATGGGGAAGTAGATTTTAAACTGAAAAAATTAGGTGCCAGAGGTATGTGAGAATTGTTGCAAGCTATGTAGCCATTTTAAATCTGTTACTTTGGCATTCTTCGAGAAACAATTGAATGAGATCATTGGATCAGTTAACTGCTGACAAAATAGACTATATTGGCTAAATGACCTTCTCACCTTTGTAACAGATCTTGGGTCTGTAACCTGGTGCAAAATGTGCATTGCAAATGTAAAGTAAAGCATATTAATTCCAGTGGTGGCTACACAGGTGGAGTCCTATGACTGATGTTAAACATCCTGCAATCTGCATAATCAGTAATTAGCCACAACCTGTCCTATAATACAAAGTATTTACAGAAGGGCATACATTTTTCTTTTTTTTTTGCTTATTGGAAGATTACAGTGTAATCAGTAAGATAGTCCTGTTATTTAAGTTGGGGAATTTTGTGACTTTCATTTAAAATGCTAAAATATTAACTGTAAACTCATCCTCTGTTCTCATTATGTAATGAGAGGATCTTCTTCACTATTAGCTGCTTCCATAATTCCTGCTTTGGAAAAATCTTTGCTTGGGGATTCTAGCTGTCACCTTGTCAATTTGTTTGCCTGCTCAACCATGTGCTCCACCTACCAAAATAAGAGATTGAAATCCATTGAGGTAAAATGTCATCTCCGAAAATGTAAATATACATGGAGGGTGCCAGTCTGCTGCTCCCTATGTAACAGTTAAAACGTTTGCTTGCACCAAGCCTTTGTTTGTATGAAAGGGGGAGCCGAACCTTGTCCCGGAAAGCCACAGTCTTGCAGCTTTAAAACCCAATCTCATTTTGGTCACTGAAATGGGTGATTGATCCCTAGGTGATTTAATCAATTAACTCCTCAAAGTTCATGTTCAAAATCATTACAAAAGGGTTTTAGTCATTTATTTAAAAAAGCCTAGCATGGCTCTCGACAATCTTAACTTTCACCCCATCTCCAACTTACCCTTTCTCTCTAAAATTCTAGAACGTGCTGTCATACTTCAGTTACGTAACCACCTCATGACAAACAACCTTTTCGAACCCCTCCAATCTGGCTTCCGTCAACTTCACAGCACAGAAACTGCCCTGGTCAAAGTCACCAACGATCTCCTAATAGCTTCTGATTCTGGTTCTCTTTCCATACTCATCCTTCTTGATCTCAGTGCTGCCTTTGACACTGTTGACCATAACATCTTACTTTCTCATCTCGAGACTGTGTTTGGAGTTTCTGACACTGCCCTCAAATGGTTTAAATCTTACCTCACTGATCGCTGTCACTTTGTTTCTCTCAATGGGTACAGGTCTGAAATTGGTCTTGTCAAGTCTGGTGTCCCCCAGGGCTCAATATTGGGCCCCTTGCTCTTCAGCATTTACATGTTCCCACTTGGTCAGCTTTTAAGATCACATGGCCTCAGCTTTCATTTTTACGCTGACGATACTCAAATATACATCCATACCAAACCTGACACTGATGTGGCTGTCTCTATTCTATCTAATTGCATCTCTGACAAACATTTGGATGACTCAAAACTTCCTTCATCTTAACTGCGACAAGACTGAAGTCATGCTTATTGGTACCCCCCATCAACTTCGTAAAGCCAGTCCTGTAACCCTATCTGTAGATGGCTCTGTACTTGAGCTTCAATCTAAATTGAAAAACCTTGGGGTCATATTCGATTCTGGCTTAACATTCGACCCACATGTGCAGCATACTGTCAGAACATCTTTTTTTCACCTGAGAAATATCGCAAGACTACGCCCTATGCTATCATTAACTGTGGCTGAAAAGCTGATCAACATATTTGTATTCTCTCGAATTGACTATTGCAATGCTCTACTCGCTGGGGTATCTAAATCTACCCTGAACAAGCTGCAGTATGTCCAAAATTCAGCAACCAGAATCCTGACCAGGTCTAGTGCAAGTGATCACATTACTCCTGTCCTGGAGTCCTTGCACTGGCTTCCGGTCAAATTCCGCGTAGACTTAAAAATCCTCATGCTCACCTATAAGGCTCTACGTGGCTTGGCACCTCAATACCGGTCTGAACTATTATTGCCCTACCCCCCACCTCGCAACCTCTGCTCTTCAAATTCTGCCATCCTTACTGTCCCCCAAGCCCATCTACACTATATGGGTGACAGGCCTTCTCCTGTTATGACCCCCAAGCTCTGGAACTCTTTGCCCAAGGATATCAGAGAGTCATCTTCTCTAAACTCCTTCAAATCCAGACTCAAAACCTTCTTCAGAAAAGCCTTTTCTTAACTGGTTCCATTCTTCACCCCTCTACTCTTCTTAGTACCACCTTCCACAGGCTCCTCTATTGTTATTGTTGTAATTGTAATTGTGTCTTATCTTGTGTATTCTTCTTATTTATTATTGTCATCCTGTAAAGCGCTTTGAGAAGCCACCTTTAAAGGCGCTATATAAAATAGTTTATTATTATTATTCCTTAAGTATTATTATCCATGAAGCTAAAGGACACAGCTCGTAGGTAATCAGCTGTATACATTGTCATGTTTTGCTCTCATAATTTGGTTTCTCATTCCTACAACTATGGGGCACCAACATAAGCTCTTTTGCTGAACCTGACAAACAGTACTGCTAGTGTTAGCAAGCGTCGGAAAACTACTACAATGCGGTATAAGTGCTCAGTGCTATTTTTATTGTATGTGCACGTGCATGCTCATGTTGGTCATTGAGATTTTCTGTGGTTCCTATGAGATGATGACTTGTAGGTGGTACTTGGATGCTTTGGTTTGATCAGGGGTGGTACTTGGTCCAAAAACTGAGAACCACTGCTGTAATATTTCTACAATTTGAACCTTGAGGTAAGATTAGATTTTAAAGGGTAAACTTTAAAATGCTAGGAAAACATAAAACTCTTATTGGACCTTTTGTATTTTTGAACATCTGACATGGAATTATATTAAACATTGATCTAGTTTTTTGTAAAAATAGAGTATAAAATCTCACGTGACTTTTCTGATTGTTTTTCTCTCAGAAGATGTGGAGCTAGATAAAGTGACCGCTGTTGGGAAGCCTGGCTTAGTCAATGAAGAAACATCTGCAGATGAAATGACCACATTTGACATGAAAATGGAATTTCCTCTTAAAACGTCAGAGCAGATAGTGGAAGAGGGGGTGAACAACGAAGAAAAACATGAAGATTTGGATCCAAAGTAGATTTTCTTATAAATTAGCCTTTAAAACCTATCCTGAAACATCCATCACCTTCTTTTCTGTGGTTTTAGTTAGGTATAATGAACTGTAATGTTCAAAAGCACAAATCTCTATTTTACCACTGGTCTCAGATTTTCTCTCTCTCTCTCTCAATATTCAGTGAATGAAACTTGTCAACCTACAAATTTGGGGAACATGCTATATTTTAAAAGTTTTTCTTGGGGACCTTTATACAAACTGATTACGAAGTAAGTTTACACCGACAAAATAATTCAGCATTTTTTCCACCAAAGTTGAGATGCTTTGTCAGACACATTATTAATGTAAACTGTTAATGTTGGACTTGGCTTTCATTTTGAGTCAGCATATTCATGCATTTAGATTAGTGATTAAAGTGTAATATTCAATATCCTTAAGGTACAACTTGTACATAAAAGGCTATCTTGTCTAGTAGTTGTTTCCTGAGCATAGACGATGTAGTACTCTGTACAGAATGAGAACAGAACTCATACAAAATAAGTCTTTTTTTTTTTTTGCAAAGCTTGATTTAATGTTTAAATTTGTCAGCTGTGTATTGCATAAGAGTTTTTCTTGGGTTATTTGTTAAAATTATATGTAGCTTTTTTCCACAAATTTGTTAGAAAATAGTGTTAAAACAGAAAATACCACTAGTTTAAATTTTGACTTGATTATGTATTTGTTGTAGAAGCAAAACATGATGTAGACAGGGATTGCAGGTAATGAAAACCGCATTTGCAACTTTAAAGTCTATGGTATTTAAATTTACTTTAAACGAACATGCCTTGAAATGTTTTTGGAAATACCATTGGAGTGAGAAAATCTGTCTGATTTCACCCTACAATCGTTGTCATTTTTTTAAAAATAAATTCATAGAATAACTGAATATTTAGTATTTGGTTGCTCAGTAAGCATTCAATTGATATGAAAAAACTTTCTCTGAAATGTTAAAACAATGCACATCTAAGTTGTCATAACATTTGTGAGAAATTTTGCATTCAAAATGCTCTTGGCTGTTAGAAACTAACATTTAAGTGAAAGTATCAATCCCTTTTTGCATCATCTATTGCCTCTAAATTCTTATGTTATAATGGATACAAATGGTTTTCTTTGCTTTGAGTATTAAATTTTAATACTACAGTGCTCATGGAAAGTAGCCTTTTGATCAGGAGTCTATAGCAGAAATTGCTTATTTGGATAGAACTGTCACTGCATGTAAGCACATTGAATGACTGCAAGAAAGATGAGTGTTGCTTTCTTCTGTGTGCTGTTTCATTTGTACCATGTACACGCATGGTTTCCAGTGTTAATTTTCTTGCTGACGTTGAAGCCAAAACTGAATTGTCATGCTCTTGACAAAAGTTTTCTTATTTACAGTCAAGCCAAATAAAAAGCAGAGATTGGAAAGTAGTTGTCAGTCTTTTATTATATGATGTTAAATTGTTTTCCGATTTTTAAGATCTTGCTTCACAAAAAGAGATGAATGGATTACCCGTTTGTCAATCTTTAGGATCTTGAATGTGTAGATCTGTAAATAAGTGTTAGTGTTAAGAAGATACCATAGAATAATAGTAAAAAATTGGGTAAAATCATTTTATTTTAGAAAACATGTACAGTAGTGTTATTACAGAACTAAAAATGGCACCAATGCATAGCTAATTTTTGTCAGATTTCCAAAACTATCAAAACCTTGGTAAAAAGTACATAATGGTTTCTAAAAACTGTTTCTTTTGGGGGGGATAACATAATTTGT